CCTCACCCAGCCACACCCCTCACTCACCCCTCACCCAGCCACCCCTCACCCAGCCACACCCCTCACTCAGCCCCACCCCTCACTCACCCTCCACCCAGCCACACCCTCAACAGCCACACCCCTCACTCAGCCACACCCTTCACCCAGCCACACCCCTCACCAGCCACCCCTCACTCACCCCTCACCCAGCCACACCCCTCACCCAGCCACACCCCTCACCCAGCCACACCCCTCACCCAGCCACACCCCTCACCCAGCCACACCCCTCACCCAGCCACACCCCTCACTAACCCATCACCCAGCCACACCCCTCACCCGGCCACACCCCTCACCCAGCCACACCCTCACCCAGCCACACCCCTCACTCACCCCTCACCAGCCACACCCTCACTCAGCCACACCCCTCACTCAGCCACCCCTCACTCAGCCACACCCCACACCCAGCCACACCCCTCACCCAGCCACACCCCTCACCCAGCCACACCCCTCACCCAACCACCACCCCTCACCCAGCCACACCCTCACTCAGCCACACCCTCACTCACCCAGCCCACCCCTCACTCAGCCACACCCCTCACTCACCCCTCACCCAGCCACACCCCTCACTCAGCCACACCCCTCACCCAGCCACACCCCTCATTCAGCCACACCCCTCACTCAGCCACACCCCTCACTCACCCCTCACCCAGCCACACCCTCACCCAGCCACACCCCTCACTCACCCCTCACCCAGCCACCCCCCTCATCCAGCCACACCCCTCACCCAGCCACACCCCTCACCCAGCCACACCCCTCACTCCCCCTCACCCAGCCACACCCTCACCCAGCCACACCCTCACGCGGCCACACCCTCACCCAGCCACACCCCCCACCCCCTCACACGCGGCCACCAACCCCTCACCAGCCACACCCTCAACTCAGCACACCCTCACCCAGCCACACCCTCACCCAGCACACCCCTCACTCAGCCACCCCCCTCCACTCAGCCACACCCCTCACTCACCCTCACCAGCCACACCCCTCACCCAGCCACACCCCTCACTCAGCCACACCCCGCATCCAGCCACAACCATCACCCCAGCCACAACCCCTCACCCAGCCACACCCCTCACTCAGCCCACACCCCTCCACCCAGCCACACCCCTCACCCAGCCACACCCTCACTCAGCCTCACCCCTCACTCACCCCTCACCCAGCCACACCCCTCACCAGCCACACCCCTCACCCAGCCCACACCCCTCACCCAGCCACACCCCTCACTCAGCCACACCCCTCACCCAGCCACACCCCTCACTCACCCCTCACCCAGCCACACCCCTCACCCAGCCACACCCCTCACCCAGCCACACCCCTCATTCAGCCACACCTCTCACTCAGCCACACCCCTCACCCAGCCACACCCCTCACTCACCCCTCACCCGGCCACACCCCTCACTCAGCCACACCCCTCACCCAGCCACACCCCTCACCCAGCCACACCCCTCACGCAGCCACACCCCCTCACCCAGCCACACCCCTCACTCACCCATCACCCAGCCACACCCCTCACCCAGCCACACCCCTCACCCAGCCACACCCCTCACCCAGCCACACCCCTCACTCACCCTCACCCAGCCACACCCCTCACTCAGCCACACCCCTCACTCAGCCACACCCCTCACTCAGCCACACCCCGCACCCAGCCACACCCCTCACCCAGCCACACCCCTCATTCAGCCACACCCCTCACTCAGCCACACCCCTCCCTCACCCAGCCACACCCCTCACTCAGCCACACCCCTCACTCACCCAGCCACACCCCTCACTCAGCCACACCCCTCACTCACCCCTCACCCAGCCACACCCCTCACTCAGCCACACCCCTCACCCAGCCACACCCCTCATTCAGCCACACCCCTCACTCAGCCACACCCCTCACTCACCCCTCACCCAGCCACACCCCTCACCCAGCCACACCCCTCACCCAGCCACACCCCTCACTCACCCCTCACCCGGCCACACCCCTCACCCAGCCACACCCCTCACCCAGCCACACCCCCTCACTCAGCCACACCCCTCACCCAGCCACACCCCTCACCCAGCCACACCCCTCAACCAGCCACACCCCTCACCCGGCCACACCCCTCACTCAGCCACACCCCTCACTCAGCCACACCCCTCACTCACCCCTCACTCAGCCACACCCCTCACCCCAGCCACACCCCTCACTCACCCCTCACCCAGCCACACCCCTCACTCAGCCACACCCCTCTCTCAGCGGACACCCCTCACCCAGCCACACCCTCACCCAGCGACACCCCTCACCCAGCCACACCCTTCACCCAGCCACACCCCTCACTCAGCCACACCCCTCACCCAGCCACTCCCCTCACCCAGCCACACCCCTCAACCAGCCACCCCCTCAACCAGCCACACCCCTCAACCAGCCACACCCCTCACCCAGCCACTCCCCTCACCCAGCCACTCCCCTCACCCAGCCACACCCCTCACTCAGCCACACCCCTCACCCAGCCACACCCCTCACCCAGCCACACCCCTCACTCACCCCTCACCCAGCCACACCCCTCACTCAGCCACACCCCTCACCCAGCCACACCCCTCACCCGGCCACACCCCGCACCCAGCCACACCCCTCACCCAGCCACACCCCTCACTCACCCCTCACCCAGCCACACCCCTCACCCAGCCACACCCCTCACCCAGCCACACCCCTCACTCAGCCACACCCCTCACTCAGCCACACCCCTCACTCACCCCTCACCCAGCCACACCCCTCACCCAGCCACACCCCTCACTCAGCCACACCCCGCACTCAGCCACACCCCTCACCCAGCCACACCCCTCACTCACCCCTCACCCAGCCACACCCCTCACCCAGCCACACCCTTCACCCAGCCACACCCCTCACCCAGCCACACCCCTCACTCAGCCACACCCTGCACCCAGCCACACCCCTCACCCAGCCACACCCCTCACTCACCCCTCACCCAGCCACACCCCTCACCCAGCCACACCCCTCACCCAGCCACACCCCTCACCCAGCCACACCCCTCACTCAGCCACACCCCTCACCCAGCCACACCCCTCACTCACCCCTCACCCAGCCGCACCCCTCACCCAGCCACACCCCTCACTCGGCCACACCCCTCACCCAGCCACACCCCTCACTCAGCCACACCCCCTCACCCAGCCACACCCCTCAACCAGCCACACCCCTCACTCAGCCACACCCTTCACCCAGCCACACCCCTCACCCAGCCACACCCCTCACTCACCCCTCACCCAGCCACACCCCTCACCCAGCCACACCCCTCACCCAGCCACACCCCTCACTCACCCCTCACCCAGCCACACCCCTCATCCAGCCACACCCCTCACCCAGCCACACCCCTCACCCAGCCACACCCCTCACTCACCCCTCACCCAGCCACACCCCTCACCCAGCCACACCCCTCACTCGGCCACACCCCTCACCCAGCCACACCCCTCACTCAGCCACACCCCTCACCCAGCCACACCCCTCACCCAGCCACACCCCTCACTCAGCCACACCCCTCACTCACCCCTCACCCAGCCACACCCCTCAACCAGCCACACCCCTCACTCAGCCACACCCTTCACCCAGCCACACCCCTCACCCAGCCACACCCCTCACTCACCCCTCACCCAGCCACACCCCTCACCCAGCCACACCCCTCACTCAGCCACTCCCCTCACCCAGCCACACCCCTCACCCAGCCACACCCCTCACCCAGCCACACCCCTCACTAACCCATCACCCAGCCACACCCTTCACCCGGCCACACCCCTCACCCAGCCACACCCCTCACCCAGCCACACCCCTCGCTCACCCCTCACCCAGCCACACCCCTCACTCAGCCACACCCCTCACTCAGCCACCCCCCTCACTCAGCCACACCCCGCACCCAGCCACACCCCTCACCCAGCCCACACCCCTTACTCAGCCACACCCCTCACCCAGCCACACCCCTCACCCAGCCACACCCCTCACTCAGCCACACCCTCACTCACCCAGCCACACCCCTCACTCAGCCACACCCCTCACTCACCCCTCACCCAGCCACACCCCTCACTCAGCCACACCCCTCACCCAGCCACACCCCTCATTCAGCCACACCCCTCACTCAGCCACACCCCTCACTCACCCCTCACCCAGCCACACCCCTCACCCAGCCACACCCCTCACTCACCCCTCACCCAGCCACACCCCTCACTCAGCCACACCCCTCACTCACCCCTCACCCAGCCACCCCTCACCCAGCCACACCCCTCACCCAGCCACACCCCTCACCCAGCCACACCCCTCACTCAGCCACACCCCGCACCCAGCCACACCCCTCACCCAGCCACACCCCTCACTCACCCCTCACCCAGCCACACCCCTCACCCAGCCACACCCCTCACCCAGCCACACCCCTCATCCAGCCACACCTCTCACTCAGCCACACCCCTCACCCAGCCACACCCCTCACTCACCCCTCACCCAGCCACACCCCTCACTCAGCCACACCCCTCACCCAGCCACACCCCTCACCCAGCCACACCCCTCACGCAGCCACACCCCTCACCCAGCCACACCCCTCACTCAGCCACACCCCTCACTCAGCCACACCCCTCACTCACCCCTCACCCAGCCACACCCCTCATCCAGCCACACCCCTCACTCACCCCTCACCCAGCCACACCCCTCATCCAGCCACACCCCTCACCCAGCCACACCCCTCACCCAGCCACACCCTTCACCCAGCCACACCCCTCACCCAGCCACACCCCTCACTCAGCCACATCCCCGTTTCATTGACCTGCCCTCCATCCTGCAAATATGTCAACAGCCATCACAACATGCTTTTCCTGATTGCCTTCTTGAAAAAAAAATATATAACTGTGAAACTCCAAGTTGCTTAACCCTATCCCCGCGTGCGTCCCTCCACGCTGCGTGTGGGTGATTAATCCTTGCGTGGGTCGATGTGGCGACGCAGTTCCCACAATTGTGCCCTCGAAGATCGGCGGAGGCGGGGGCGTCCATCGGGAGCTCACCATCACGTGGAAGGTGCGCGGCTCGTGCGGCCCCACCCTCCCCCCTCGCCCTCCCCCCTCGCCCGAGCCCGGCTGCCCCCCGGGTCTCCCCTCTGCTTGTGCCGCTCGAAGTTTGTGTGCCGCATTCCTCCAGCGCTGTCGTCGTTGTCGCTGCGCCCGCGAGACGACACAGAGCAGAGGAACCCTTCTCGCTCGACAACAGCCAACATAAGTGGATATAGCAGAGCTACCTCTGAGAGCCCTCCCGGTGATCCTCTTCTCCACACCGTGGAGAACAGCGCTTGCCCACCTGCTCTCTATATCACAGTCATGTTAATTGCACGACAGAGCTGCAATTCAGCTTAATTGCGAGCAACGGCTTATTCAAAGCGATGGTTTTCTCGTGACGAGGCTGAAGCCATCAAGTCGCTTCACCCGGCGGTTTGAGTCGCGGGCGGCTGCCTCGATGGGAGCCCAGCATCTCATCGGTGCCGGCTCAACGCTCTGACCTCTGGGCCACCCGGCCGCCCCGCTGCTGTCATCGTGTCAACGCGTCAAGCGGCCGGCGCGTTGCATATCACCGATTTGGCCTCCTGCTACCTTCATCCGTTTTCTGCGACCAATGTGCAGCTGTCGACCGCTGCGGTGTGACGAGGCGTTCTCTGTTCTCCGTGCCGTGGGTGTGTTCGGCATGCTTCTTGTTGGAGCACCACGACGCAGTAGTGGCTAGAAATCATGCAGTAGTGGCTAGAAATAAGGCAGTAGTGGCTAGAAATCAGGCAGTAGTGGCTAGAAATCAGGCAGTAGTGGCTAGAACACTCGTGTGAACTTTCACGTGCAACGTTCGATTCATCTTAATCCTGAAGGCATCTAGCGGGGTGTTGGGTCCTGTAGTAATACCTGCATTTTCATTCCTGTGTATTCCTGAAGAATGTCGACTTCATCTTTACTCCCACGTGCCTGCAAGCAACGCTGAACTTGCTATCAGGGCACAACTCCTTGACAAACTCGCCATGAGCCAGGAGTGCAAATTCGACATTCCTATGGCAGGGTCTATCTCTAGGATGACCACTGATTGCAAAAACATTTCCGAGAGGAATTTTACGTCTGGATCAACCCCTGGCCAGTATTTTTACTGTAGCAGTCTCCTGTTTAGAAAGCTGTGCACACCACCACCACCACCACTGCACCACCACTATGCCACCACCACTGCACCATTACCACCACTGCACCACCACCACCACTACACCATCACCACTACACCACCACCACTACACCACCACCACTGCGCCACCACTACCACGTCGCCACTGCTTTCAGGAGTTATTTCAGTGGTTACTTGCTCCGAAAAAAATATTCATCCTCGTTACATCTATGCCTCTTAGAATTAAGAACATTGTGATGGGTATTTGGCTGGACAGCAAGGTCCAGTTGTAAATGCAGGGGCAGCCTGGTCGGCTTCCTCGCTCGGGCGATGATGACACACAACTGTCTCCGCTGCAAGCGGGACATTTCTGTTTGCATTTGGGGATGAGTCCGTGATTACTGCCGCTTGCTCTCAAAACAACTCACCGAGCCCCGGTCCTCCCAATAGAATCTCCGCTGCTGCATTCTCCTAGATGGGGGGTGAGCACGGAATGGGCGCACTTCTGCTATCTCCAAATCAGACTTCCCCAGTTCTGTAAATTGGAAATCCTGGTGGCGGAGCTGTGAAGGGCCTTCTACATTCCCAACTTCGCTTCACAGCCAACGGCCGATACAGAGTTGAGCTCTGCCCCGTTACCCCACCGCAAAAGAGATTAATCCTGGCGGCAAACATCGTCGGAATGAGACTCCGGTCCTATGGGTCCTTCGTGAGCATGCTTCGTTGCTTATAATCGACCCTCCCTCCTGGCTGTCGAGGGCGATGCGTATTTTTATCTATTTAAAATGTAGTTTACAAAGATATTCTGGCCCCTGTCATAGGAATGTAGAATTTCCATCACAACAAGCTCATGGCCAAGACTTGAGATGAACACTGCCCAATACTTGATTGACGCATCGACTCACGCACATCTGTTGAATGTTTACGTACCTCAAGTACTGTACAACGATGAGTCTAAAAACAATCTGCCCGAGCCAGCTTACATCCCATGGAATTAATGATTTAACATTGATTATGTTTGTGCAGTATTTTAGGTTTCCCATGCGACACGGTTGCTTTTGCCCTGATTTCTATTCGCTCTATTGCTATGCTTTATAGTATTTGTTTTGCTGTTGTCACGTTGGTGACCCATGTCACTCTAGAAAACAACGCTCTCCTTGGTCTCTCGAGTTACCACCTGGCCTCGACTCGAACGCCCCTTCTTAACGCCCCCATAGCCAAGCATGAACATGATAAGGCACAATCATCGATTTGCGGTGTGGTGAAGCGGTGCGTGTGCCAGGGACAGCGCGTGAGTGATCGTGCGTACCGGCCTGTGACGTGGCTCAGGCGCGTTTTGCGTGCGGGAACGATGCCATCAATTTCCCCGTAAACCGGTGACACCATCTCGTTGCCGTGTTACGAGCTGGAAAACCGGAGGCTGCTCTCTTGGTGGTTACCTCGGTCCAACCGAGCGAAACCCCGCTGCAGCACGAATCTCTCTTGCAAGGGGAAATGTGGAAGGAAAATACAAAACGTGCAGCGATGATTTTGTAGGATTTCATATTTTATTTACACATTCCATCACCCACAGTGCCTTCTGCGGAGCGCATCATTTTAGCAGCTTTGGTTCAAAACAAGCTGATCTCTGGACCGGTTTTGACATGCAGTGTCTCATCGGCAGAGTCAAGTTTGAACCAATGCTGGCGGACTTCCCAACGTGATCGCCGGAGACTCGCACGAGTCGGTAGCGCTGTGTAGTACCGGCGCCGCCGTGCGTGGGCCGCCCTCCCGTTGACCATGCCCCCCCCCCCCCCCGCCCCCCCGCCATGCTCCCACAGTCGGTGGAGCAGGAGTACCGCTTTGGCGATAGGTTCACCTACAACATCAGGTTCCGGCCGCTCGACAGCGCGGACAAGGTGTGGACCACGGTGGTGATCGGCGACGCCGACGCGTCGCGCTTCGTCTACAAGAACGCGAGCCTGGAGCCGTACGTGCCCTTCGAGGTCCAGATGCAGGCGAGCAACGTCCACGGCGGGGGCCCCTACAGCCAGGTGGTCGTGGTGCACTCCGCCGAGGACGGTGAGCCGGCACGGTGCCCCGCGCGGCTCGCCGCTTCGCGTTCAGAAACGTTACGCAGACCGCAGGAGGAATCTGGTGGGCTTGCGAAGCCTCTTGTTCGCAGGTGTCCAGTAGGGGCGGGCCAGAAAGTCACAGCGACACTTGTCGAGAGGGATTCGCGGTCCGTGCCCGACAGGCCGCACTGGTTAATACTGCCGCCGGTTGCATTAGCCTTGAAATACCCGGAGCCGTCCGGTTGACGGTGGACGTTAAAGATCCCGCGGTGTCGGCTGAAACGAGTCGCCCGTCGCGTGCCGGCATCTTGGTCTGGTGGCCCCAGCTGCCCAGCCCCCGCACGGAGAGCCCCGGCGGGAGACGCCGATGGGATTCTGTGAGTGGGGCCTTGAAACCCCAGGCTCGTTTTGCATTCCCGGTAACCGCATGGACAAATAAAACTGGTCGAATCTGTTCCTGGTTTGGAGCGCATTCATAGATGTGAACAGCAATAAATATTCTTATAGATTTTGTTTAAAGCTTTCGTGACTGCAGGGATTCATATTCTTGGTTCTTTCGGTAAATTCACGTAGAAGGGAAATAATAAAGTAAAAAATATATAAAACAATACAATTCTCACAACGTTTCGACTGCAACACAAGCAATCATCATCAGGTGTGAAATCCACAGCAAGAAAATTTGAAAAAAGTGGCGTTTTTTTCCTCTTAACGTCAGCACCACAGACAGCGATTTGGCAGTTGGTCAGATGGACGAGTCCATCTATGTTCAGAAAAATTTCTTGCTGTGGATTTTACACCTGATGATGATTGCTTGTGTTGCAGTCGAAACGTCGTGATAATTTTATTGTGTTATATTTTCATTTTTTTTTATTATTCCCCTTCTACGTGACTTTACCGAAAGAACCAAGAATACTATTATAGATGTGAACAGCAATAAACATGTTATGCTTTTAACTGAGCAACAAAAGGATCTGCCACGGTGGCATGGCCATCTGCAGCACCGCTCAACTCCATCTCCCGGCGCAGAAGTGCAAGCAATGGGGGGCGAGTTTCTTAAACCTCTCCCAGCCTCTACCCAGCGAGCAGTCCAGCGGTGTAGATGGTGGGTCCACCAGTCTACGATGGCAGGTTGCATTTGGTGGGATACAATGTGGGCACGCTCACTTACAAGACGTCTGGTCATTGAGGAAGAGAAAGCCAAACACCCAAGGGATCTCACTTTAGTGGAGGCCCTTCCTCCAGCGGTGGTGTGAGCAGGCACTTGCACGGCTGCACCTTTGGCGCGGGCGGAGGCGTCCCCAAGTTAATGAGGACGCCGCTGTTCACAGAGCCGGACGTGGCTCCGCGCAGGGCAAGGGCGTTCCCCATCGCTCGCACGGCCTGCGCCGTCAATTACACGGAATTCAAAGTCACCTGGGAGCCCATTCTGCCCAACGCCACCAGCCGGCGAATCGTGGGATACGAGGTAAGGTAAACGCTCGGCTCACCGGATTTCAGATTTCGCATTTAAGTTTGGACGGATGCTGGCTCAATAAAATAAAAAAAAAACCTCTTCAACGCATCCTCTCCCGCGTCACGTAGGCCGTGTGCCTGAAGGGCACGTTCACGGTCACGCTACGCAGATCCGACACGTGGACAATGACAGAGAAGCAGGAAGCGGTGCATGCTGGGAATTACACTGAGAGACAGGCCAGACACTTCGTATTGACTCTAGTGGGGTGGCTATGGAGGTGACTACTACGGTTTATTTAAAACTGTTTATATTCTCTTGGTAAAAACTCTCCAATGAGGTCCGCTCGGAGCGTGTGCACAGCGGTGTCCTCGTTTGTCCCGCGCCATGTCCGGCTCATTGCCCCCCGCGACCCACCGAGGCTCTGTGAGCTCCGCGAGTCTGGTTTCTACCCCTGTGGCTGTGTGCGACGCTCTCTGGTGGCCAGATACGCTACTGGAAATCCACGGACAACCAAGCGGCAGCAGAGAGAGTTCAGACCGAGGTCACCAACAGCGTCATCATCAGAGGTGAGCGGGGCGATTCCGGCTCATCGCCAACACACACTGTACCCACCAGATACTCTGCTGCTTACACCTGCTGAGATTCCCAGGTCTGATGGGCTGGGGTGCATTCCGATCGGTTTCGCGGTCCCATTAAACCACTTCTCATTTGTAGCCGGATTCTCGCCATTAATTTAGCTCTGTGGGTTCACGGCCACTTCAGAAGAAATCTCCGCTGCTGCTGCTGCTGCTGTTGTGTGGCAGCAGCTTTGGCTCGATCCAACCCGAGGCCTCTGTCCCCCCACGCTCCCCGCTCCGAGAGTCGCTATGACCCGGCGACGCCACCGGCCCTCGAGCGTTCCACGCGACGGAGCCGGTCCCCCCGCCTCCTCCCCCTCTCCACTCCCGCTCCAGCGCCAGGCAATCCGACCCGCCGACCCGACGCTCGCTGTGGCCCCTCCTCCAACTTGAGACGTGCGGTGGGGGCGGTGGGGGGGGGGGGGGCGATGAAAGAGCGCGACAACCGAATGCGTGGGACTCGAGGCGCGTGGCTCCGTGTGTCGCAGGCCTCGTGCAGAAGACGCTGTACCACGTGGATGTGCGCGGCTACAACACGGGCGGCGTGGGGCCCCCGAGCCCCGTCGCCAGCGTCCACACGAATAAGAACGGTAAAGAGCCCCAGCCACCACGTGAACACTCCGGGCCCAGCGTTACTCGCCCCGCGACGTGGTGCTTAGCACTCGCGCACACAGCGGTGTAACCGCCAGTTTGGAACAAACATCGGAGTGCTGAAAAATTGCCTGCAAACGACACCATTGGGATCACGAATAGGCACAGCAGGAACATCGCTCTCAATTGTGAAAAAAACTTGGCAGGACCCTCCTGAGCGAAGAGCCTTGAGACTCGATCAGGCTTTCCTGAGTGCACGGGCATTGTACTACTAGTAATGAAATAAGGGCTGAATTCACATCTTTGACAAATCGTCAAAACTCTTCACCTTGCCAAAGGTCACACCAAAGTTACATTTACTAAGCCACGATGTGGCCTTCATTAGGTCAATATTGGAATAAAAGTAAGCCCTTTAGCAATCAACTGCTAGATGAAGGCATCACCTGGACCATACTTCACCAGGCTGGAATGCCCGGAACTAGTTCAGATGATCGCTCACCGCTAATCTTAGCCGTAACCGGGTATTGAGCGCAGCTCACGGTGTTCATAGCGCAGTGCGTGAACCACGGCATCACCACTCCCCTCAGATAGGAACACTGGGATCACATTTGGGATCACATTTGGGATTACATTTGGGATGGAGCTCCTGGCACAAACCTGGCTGTGGGAAATCTCTCCGCTTGTCCATGACAACCTCTCTCCTCCCACTGAGGCGGTAGGCCAAGCCCAATTCTAGGCTTGGTGTTCTTGAGTGTTGCTTGGTGGAAACTTCCGAGTGTATTGGCATACAATAGATGTGGTGTGCGACCACTAATGACTGTAGTTATAATGCTCTGCTCCAGTTTGGAAATATAGAATTGAAATGAAATCCCGGTTGGGTGTCACGTAAGCCCCGCCATGATCATCCCTCCTGGGTGTATAAAATCAGTACTGTTTTGTGAGAAACACTAAGTCCATTTCCTCTCCAGAATTGAGTCCCCCCCACAGGAATATGCCAGTGCCACCACTGCATAAGGTCCTCCGCATGTTGAGGCGTGAAGGCGGCTTTCACCGCAGCGAGACAGAGTGGGGACCATCTTCTTGGTTCTTTCGGTAAAGTCACGTAGAATGGAAATAATAAAATAATAAAACATAATAAAGTAAAATAATAATAAAATAATTTTCTTATTTCTTATTTTTATTAGTATTTTATTATTTCCATTCTACCTGACTTTACCGAAAGAACCAAGAAGATGAATCCCTGCAGTCACGAAAGCTTTAAATCGAGAGTGGGGACCGTTCACGTCTCGTTGGATTGTTGTCCGCAGCTTCAAGCCAGATCCCTGAGGTCAGATACACGTTGAAGGACGACATCGTGACCATTGCCTGGAACCCGATCCACCCTCTGGACGAGTCAGCGGTCATCAAATACCAGGCAGGTCCCACGCGTGCGCACACACACAGAACACCTTGAGAGTATTCACAGTGGGGTCATGGAGCGGACATCAGTTTATATTAGAAATTCTGTTGTCCATGCATTGATGAAGGCCATCCAGGGAGCTTTTGACCGAAATAACAATGACTTAACACGAGTCTCTGGGACAACACGAGTCTCTGAGACAACACGAGTCTCCTCTGGCTCCACTTTTTTGCGGCACCAAAATCCATGTCGGGTGTTTCCAGTCCGTAGTGGTAATGCATGGGACTGGATTCATATTAGAAACAGCAAAACGTTGCTTCAGCATCATTGGCACATTCATGCTCGCACAGAGACTCATAGACAGGCCCGTAGACTGACACAGATACCCATAGACTCACATGGCCATAGACTTACTTACAGGTAGGCCCATAGACTTTACTATCATCAGCGCTTGCTCCACCATACGGGCACAACGCAACTTCGCGGGAGACATGTTTTGCTGGAGCCCATCCCATGATCAACATCATCAACATCATTAACATCATAATTAACATCATCATTAACATCATCAACATCATCAACATCATCATCCCATGATCAACATCATTAACATCATCATCCCATGATCAACATCATCAACATCATCATTAACATCATCAACATAATCAACATAATCAATAACATCAACATCCTCAACATCATCATCCCATGATCAACATCATCAACATCATTAACATCATCAACATCATCAACATAATCAATGACATCAACATCATCATCAAAATCATTATGAACGAGTCTGCCAGCGTTACCATGCATCGCCACCCAAACCATCTCCACGCCACCGATCGGCGTGCCAAGGTGTCTCACCGTGCGTGTCTCCCCGCGGGCCGCAGGTGCGCTACCACCTGAAGGACCGCCCCAAGGGCAAGGTGTACAAGGTGAATACCACCGAGACGATGCTGAAGGTGCGGCTGTTCGCGAAGGACGACTACCTGGTGTCCGTGCAGGCTCTCAGCGCCTCCGGGGAGGGACCCTGCACCGAGCTTTACATCCACCGTAAGAGGCTCCGCACGCGCCGCCCCCTCCGCCCGGCTCGCTCGCTCGTTCGCACGCGGCGCCCGTACTGCTTGACGAAGACGAAGGTCCCCTGTGCAGCCCCCCGATAGATCGCCGGCGCAAGTGCCGCTAGCAGGCACCTGTGAAGGCCGGTACGGCACGCGGGAGATGCGTGGCGAGTGCCGCGCCGGGCCGCCTCTGCCTCCCAGGACTCGTTCAAGATAATTGTCACGGTGGCCGTGAGCGGGAATCGAACTCGGGGACGCCGGGTTTGTGGCTCGGTGCGTTAACCACTACACGCGACCACTGCCAGCAAAGTGTCGCCTTGAAGAAAGGTCAGCCATTGTCTACTGCGTCGAGCCGTAAACTCTGAGATGGCCACCCATGGCACGTACAATACACGCGCAAAGCTTTAACGTTAAATAATGGGTCTTGTTTGCGCAACATGAAACATAAACTGCACAATTCAATTACGCCGCCGGTCAATGTTCCCTGAACGATTTGTGTGGGGAGAGAAGCCAGCTGGCTTTCTGGCCTGGGCCAGACCAGCTCCGAGGCTCGTCTCGTCTGCTCTGCGACTCGCATGCGGCGTTCCGTGCTTTTGTGAGTCTCCTTCCGTTGTGCTCCGGTTGCTTTGGCGCTGCAGCTGTTGTACCTCCGCTACTGTGTCCTGTGGCTGTGATGTGCCGTACTCTCAGAACCAGACAACAACCTTGCGGACGAGGAGGCAGTGGCGACGGGTCAGATGGAAGGTCAGTCCAAGTCTAGTGGGCCGACACTTTGAGAGGAGCTCTGTATACTTTGTTATTTCCCATTCTAATGTCTCTCTACCTCTGGACCAACATACACCTTCAATTAGGTCTAATCACAACAAACAACTTGTGATCTTTTTAGTTGTTTATTGACATTATCAGGGGACCTCCTTTGCCAGTACTCTGGTCAAGCACCGTTTTGAGACTCGGCTCAAAAGAAAGCTGACTCTAGTGTGGACCAATCAGTTTCAAAGACAATGCATATATTATCAGAGTATGATTTTTTTGTTTGCAGGCATAATTCCTTGTAAAGGGTTTCAGTTTGGTGTTTTAACATCTTAACACCTGTTTGTTGCCAGAAAAAAAGGGGAAAACCTATTCTCTCATTGACGTTAATTTTAAGTTGTTTTTATTTACAGTCGCGTTTTTAATAACCTACAACGATGCCATCCACAATAGGAACAATACGAGCTATGAGTTGCATTGCATAACAAATAATTGCTTAGTTTAATCCAGGGCAGCATTTCAGCGTGAGAGTTGCACAGTAAGATCACAGCTGTAGGGACCACCCGACGTCTTGTAAACTCTGCAGGAACCTCAGCCGCAGCTCCCATAGCGATCGCTTCAGCGGCGGCCTCTCCAGCATCACGGCCCCCGCAGTAGCTTGGAGACAATCGGTAGTTGAGCCACTGATGCGCCATCGATTGGGTCATGCTAGGGCAATATGGGAGAAATTTGAACGCTAATGGGGTCGATTGATCTGCCTTGTAGGTACTCCTAATGGGGCAGGAGTGGTACCTCCAGGAAGGTTGGCTCTATGCCCCCGTAAAGTTGCATCAGAGGATCGTGACATGATGGCAATGGCTTAGGGAGGACAATTTCCAGCAGGGGACTGATCATGGGTGATGGTGATAATGAAACAAAAAAAATCTACGATATTTTTGCAATTGCACTGTTATTATTTATTTATAAATGTGAAAACACCTTCTTTATTTTGTGTTTTTCATTTATATAGAGCTTATGTTATTCATGCCACAGATCTCTCAGTGTCTCGACTTAATTGGGTCTCGGTCAAGTTGGAGAAATTAAATCCACACCCCAGATTAACACGGTTAGCGACGTATGGTGCCTACAAATGGTATCCTATTTTCTGAAATCTAATTTTATATTAAAATGTCGAGCACAGATGATAATAGCAAATGGTAAACATCTCAAATGTACATTTCACATTCACGTAAATTCTGTTAACACCGCCAGACCTGAAAATACAAAACCTCATAGTGTTACATTTAGAAATCACGCCTTGAAATGTGAACAATGGAAATAATCGTGAAATCTGAGATTCTATCTAAAACACTCATGCCTTATTAATAGGCCATACTTTTTACAACAGGTATACAGAGCCCTCTCAAAAGAAATACCACTTATCATATTTTGAAACTAACATACCTTGGGTAAATCCATTCACTAACATTTGCAACCTGGGATGTTAATGGCTTGCCTCATAGACCATCCATCTCCACAATTAACTCACCTCCCAGTTGAATGACGACTAACATTCCACGCAGCTGGTGTCGAGATAGCCTTGAAGTCAACGTCCCGAACGACGACGACATCGTTTCGATTCCCGCAGTGACCTCTGTGGGGGACATTGCCAGAGCGTGGACATTTAAGAGCCCGTGACGCAATTTTCAAGAGCAGGCCACTCTTGTTCCGTCTTCTTTGCAGATTGAAAAAAAAAAAAATTACTCTCACCAAAATTACAAAATCTAAATTACAAAACCTGTCCTGCTGTGCCTGGCCCAATGAGCCCATCACCTCGGCAGAGCCCCTAGCCCCGTGCTGGGGACCGGTGGCGCTCCCGCGTGCTCCTCTTCAGCGACTGCTCACTGCCCGGCGTTGCCTCGCCCACCCTCGACGCAGCAGGGCAGCACGGCTGTGACGATGCGTCGATTCACCGCTCAATCTTGAGTCTCCAAACCGTTGTGCCTTAGAAACGAACGTGGTTGATTCGTACACGTTGAGGCCGCCTAGAATTAATTATTCACCGCGGATTTTTTTCTTTTCTTAAATCAAACCTCGACCGTGGATGGTGACGATTCATGGAATTTGTTGTCAGTAAAGCGTCGTTGCACGCCTAGAGAACAACCCCAGAACTAGTCGACAACTCGACACCGCTGTTGGCACCATCTGCATCCGTCTCCTCACCGCGTAACGCATCTCCCAGCCGCCGAGGGCTCAAAGTGTGGAGCTTTGGTGCAATGCATGGCGCGTTCACCCTCCCTGCTCTCTGAGCGCGTATCCATCGCCCGTCACCGCTGCCCCTGCATGTTGCCTACCCCGGGCGCTCGCTCGCTCTTTCACGCTACAACAGAGATGATTGCACAATATTCTGCCTCTCATTAATATGTTTTCTCCATGTGCAATACGTTGCGTGGTTCATTTAACACTCGATAAACAATATTCAGTTATTACTGAATCACTATGACCGTGCCCAATTCTCGTCAGACATCAGAAGCTAAGCGGGGTACAAGCTGGATCTTGTTTGGATGGGTGACTGCCTCGCTCGTGAAGGGCGGCAGAGAGCAGTACATCAGCAGTGTCAATTGTACTGTAGCTTTTGTGCTGCCACGCCTATGCCCCCTTGCTATCGCTGTCCCGCTCTGACCAGCGTGGCGAAGTATGGTCAAATAAGACCCATTTGTCCACACACCGTGAGGAGGCCCTTATCCAGCAGTAGGTTGACAGCACTGTGCATGTTCAAAGAATAATTGCAATGGATTGGCTGCTTACCACTCTCTCTTGCTCCCATAGACGAATTCTCAGCAACATGGGCCTTGTGTCTGATTGGTTTAGACAATGTGTGACAGCAGCAGCAGTCGCCGTTGTTATTCTGTTGAGCCTGATGGGCAACTCCAAAAAGCAATCTCCGCCTCCACTTATTGGCAATGAATGTAAGCACAGGTTTACAAACACATCCCAGATGCTGGCCTACGATTGCTGCACACTCACTGGCTTGTTAAACATTTTATCTACGCCACAAAATACGTCCATTCTGCTCGCTCCGTGCATTTTCATGCCTTTAATAGGTTCCATTGATGATCCCCCGCCTGAATCAAATGTTCACGTAAACTGAATACAATTTGCATTGTGTGTCTTGGAGAATGTACGTGTGATGCCGCGACCACGGAGCAACTCCGCGAACGCCGCGATTCCCTCCCGGCCCTACCCCTGAGCACTTGCGCAGCACAGCACCCACGTAGTGTTCTAGCGGGGGGGAGGGGGCGAGGTTGCCAGGCACATCGGGTTTTAATCCGCAGGCCCCCTAGAGGGAGAGTCCCGCGGTTTCCCGGTGCCAGGAGATTGGCCGACCGCCACTGGACAGGTGACATTGCGGTGACACTAAATTGGCTTAAAATTCTACGGGCGCAGAAGGAAAAAGTTCACTGGGCCAACCGCGATGAGTTATTTACGACATTGGGGGAGAGGCTGAGGGTGGAATATTAGGCAAGAAGGGCAGATGAGTAGGTTAGAATTAATGAGCACGGGAGAGCAATGGGTGGGTGGAGCAGCAGCACACTCAGTGGTACCCCACTTTGAGGGCGCAGGTCAGCGCACGATTGCCTGCGCAGTATGACGTCACCCTGGGCCTTTGAAGTTTAGAGAATAAAAATGGGGGCCCCGGACGATTTCCGGTCTCTTGCCTTCAACCTCCGGGCCGTCGAGACCCACCCCCAGCCGTCCTGCCTCTTCAGGCCACTCACAGCATCCGTGTGATGCCAGCGAGCGCTGCGTCGAGGTACGTGGTAGGACGTTTGTGTAACTGGGTTCATAGAGTTCGGCTCGGCTCTTCTCGCGAAATATCCCCCCTCCGGGTAGGGTGTAATTGCGCCATTAATAAACTTTTGTTCAGAGAAAAAAAAGAAATTCTCTTTTGATTAGCGCCGGCCTCTGTGTAAAGCACGCGCCGGCAGGGGCGGTTGCGTGCACGCCACCGCGTTCGTTTTCCGTGGTGGTGGTGGTGGACGTGGGCGTGTGGGGGATAACCCCGGGCGGTGGTGAGCCAGCCGAGTAGCGATGTCCCTCAGGGCGCTGGCGCGGTGGGGGGGGGGGGCGATCACCCGATCGGTAGGGGCCTGGCGAGAGGCGGACGAGGAGGAGGGGGGGGAGTGGAGGGGGTGGACGTCGCGCCCCGCCCGCTCACAGGGAGCGGGGAGGTGGGCGACAGCCCCCCACATTCGCTCGTATGTCCGTCCCTATATCTGTTCTGGTGGCGGCATAATTGCAGAAGTAAAGTGAACATGATGGGCTTAACTGGTCGATATTTTTGCAGCCAATGTAATAATTCACAATGGGCTTTTGGGTAAGGCCACGTCCTGTAATGATCAACATTATTTGTAGATCACCACCATCCGACGGCCAAATGAGTCGTCAAGTGTTCAGGCATTTGACGCGCTAGTTATTCTTGTTTCAGCTCATTCAGTGAGTTGAAGAACAGCCAGATTTATCAGTTGAGACGAATTGTTGTGAGGATTGTGGGACCCTTCCATCCATAGCGTGTCTGTCCCCGCTAATTGCACATTCGCATACATACGCACGTGTAGATAGCTCTGTGGGTGGGGATTGCATCGTTGTCAGGACGCTGTGACAGAATCCCCACGCTCGACCCGTCAACTCTGAGCGGCTGCTGTTCGTGGAGCAGACTTTGCTGTCCACCCATTCCATTGGGCCAGGAGAGTACTCTGACCAGCTCATTAATAGCAACAACAACAAAAAAACAAATCAAAGTAGGGAAGGAACTTTATTTCGTTGTAAAATCCACTGGTCATAACTCGAAGCTCACAATGGAATCTTGCGCTCCCCTTAATGACTTGGCATACAAAGTTAAAAGTATCGCAAATGTTACATCCTTCATTTACACAGGCGATGGAATCCCGTCAGCCCATTGACACAAAATAAGTATTTTATAAAGCGAAAAGGAAACCATTGTACATTAAAAAAACTACACTCAGCAGTATCGAATCGAAATCAAATCTAGACTGTAAAAAAAACACACACAACGTTGAAAACGACTGCGACACTCGCACGGAAAATGAAATGGAGAACAAACTGCGAACTGCGATCAAAGCCAATAATGTCACTCACGGTGTAAGTAACATCCAGTCAAACTACAGAACAATGAACAAAGCTAGGTTTTCCAGCTGGAATTAATAGCCCCGAATTCCACATTGTTGGTGCATCGCCTCTCTTGCCAGGGTCACGCTGACGCCGGTGTTGGATTTGCAGCATTGACAGCGTCCACGTGAACAAAGTGCCTGCTTTAACAAAGTAGCGACGGTCTGTTTAACTCGGCTAAAAGAGCATCACCATGAGATCACACGCGGTTAAATGAAGTGCTTTGAATTGATTGGTTGTAAATGTGTTTAAGTCGTGCAGCTGCACAGATATGCAGCAAATGTAATTGAAATGAACTTCATTGGCAGTGGATTTCCATGGCCAAAATACCCTGGGCTCTCTGCTACAACGTCGGATCGATACTCGCAGGCTGGAGTGTGATTCTGCTGCTGTCAGGTTCCTCTGTGGAATGACTCCCATGAGTCCGATTTAAATGTCTAAACTCCTTTTAATCAACCTGCATTCAAACCCATTGTAAACGCAGCGGTAGCTTGAAGCATTTGTAAGATGTGTGGTGGCGTCTGGAACGCACGCCATAGCCAGGTGTTCACTTGCTTACGTTTGTGGCATTGCTTTGCAAGGCCCCTTGCACACTTCGACGGGGATATTTGGGCCAATTCAACAGTTAGAAAAAATACACGAGGCCAATTCCAAATGGTTATAGAGGATGTGTGCACAAAACGCTGTCCTCAACTGCAAAGTGCAACAGGAACCTGGCCGTGATGTTTTGCAAGTCGAGACGACGTCTCGTCCTTGCGGATACGTGGCGCACAGCAGTTCGCGGTGACTGCAATACCTATAGAGCTAAGATGGCGCCACTATTAGTTAGGGGGTTAGGGGGGTCTCGGGTGGTGTTGTGTTCACACCACCTGGGTGTGTTCTCACCGCCCGGGTGAACACAACACGGGTCCACCCATCCCCCATGGCGACGCGCTTTGGCAGTCTATGAATTTGTCCAGATTTTAATCGACTAAACATTGACATTAACGAAAAAAAGATGTATTCACCAGCATCGATTCAAGTAAGCCTGGCCTTGCTTATGAGCCATTGTATGCATAGGATGCCACGATGGCGAGATGTTAACTACCTCGCCTGATATACAGGAGGTCGTGGGTTCGATGCTCACCCTGACATCTGTATATTTGGAGTTTGCATGCTCTCCCCGTGGTCGTGTGTGTTTTTCTCTGGGTCCTCCACATTAAGCACCACGCGTTTAGAGTATTTGGCCGCTATAAATTTCCACGCGATAAGCCACTTCGTTAATCTATCATTTGTGGCCAGGTCGCTTCTAAAAAAAAGAGCTATATAGCTGGTAACATAAAAATAGTAACACAAATAGTAGATCGAAACGGGTGCAGAGTTTTCTTGTATTGAATAAATGCTGATGAAATTGTGCACTCCCACAAGACCGTGTGGCTGATGGCTTGTGTAATAACTACTCTTATGTTTGCGTGAACCGACATAGGTATGAAGGAGACAATGTCTTCTTATCTAGTATTTTACATTCTCCAAAATTACTCGAAGGATTGTTTGAGCTCATTGTTTTACGATCAATCGATCGGGCGGGTGGGCAGGTTCCTTTAAAATTGCCGGCTGTCCAAGCAATGTTTTTCCTCCCTAAGAGGGGGAAGTGTCAGAGCCGGGCCTCTGGGGCTCCCCGTCCCCTTCTGGGAGAGTCCAGGAGGAGACAGTTACGGCTGTGAGCGGTAACTGATCTAACCCTCGTGTGGGTTTCTTGTTGACATCGATTTTGTTCCTTCAACTATGGGCCACGTCTATTCATCTTTGACCTCAATTACGTTGGGAACGATTAATAGATGTCGCTGCAGTAATGGTGCATCAGTTGGGCTTATTATTATAATTGGGCTGGAGCTGTGGTGCACAGAGGTGCATGCAATGCGCTGTGACGAACACACTGACCCGAGTTCAACTCCTGGCCACGGCTAACAGCAGTGAACTCTGAACTGGTTCTGAGCCACCCCCTTCAGTTTCAAACACACAACACACAGACACGTGTCTTGTTTAGAGTGCTCTTTGTTGCTGACCGCTTAACGTTTTGGGCCTTGTGCTCCACGAGGTGGTTGAATTTTTTCAAAACGGCCACGGAAATGGTTAGACGTCGTTCTGGGGTTCAGCAGGGACACAACTGCACGCACACTCGACTCTTGAGAGACGGTCACTGGTCTGGGGACCGTCCACTCGCCACACCAGACGCCCGGTTCCACCACAGGCCGTTGCCTGGATTCAAGCCCAGGATTCTCAGCGGCACCAATTCAGCATTGAGCTCTGCGCAACCCAGCAATGTCAACATTGGTATTCGTGAGTGGAGTAATTTCACCGACGTATGTTTGGGACTTGGCTGATCGGAACCAATGTCAGGCAAAGAGGTAAGCTGTTCTTTTTTTGCCTCTGCATGTGGACATATGAATAGCGAGCATAGATAAAGCGTTCATCGTAAAGGGCGAGACCGCATTGAATGTGGCGTATGCATAACGGTGACTACCGTCGTGGAAAATGTGCCTGACCTGGCTCCTTGTGCCATTGCATGCTTCTACCTTTTCAGGGAGTGGGATGGGGGGAGGGGCGAGCGATGGACGCGCCGTCTGGACTGCGCTGTGGGTGTGCGGACTGATGCAGGTTCTTCTGTGCACCTGGAGCGGAGGAGGCCTCTAAGCAGCTCCACCCAGGAGGCCGTGGCACACAAAAGGAGCCACATCCACCAGCACCCCCCTATCACAACGTGCACCGCGCTCAATGGACTCTTAACCCACATTAAAAGCACTCATTGCCATCGGCGGTTCTACATGAAGTATACAGTGTGTACGATTCATTGATAGTGTAACGTTTTGAGTTTGCTGATATTTTGCATATTAGTCCCATTTCAGATGTTTCATTTGCCAGTGCCGCCGGAGATGGCAAAACCTAGTTGTGCTTTTTTGAAAAGGTCTGTGCCACAGGCGATATTTGGATGTGAAATCTACCGGGAGGGCATCGCGTGTGGTGAACCCACTTTGGCCAGTGGAGTCAATCCGTCTGGAGTGGTTCGAACTTGCGCGCCAACTCGCGGACAGTCAAGGCCACTGGGGGTGTATGAGCACTTGCATCGGCGTGACATCGGAGTGAGCGCGCCAAGTCATCTGGCTGGGTAGGCGAAGGGTTTCGGTGCTCGCCGCCCGCTGGCTAGGCCTCGGCAAGGTAAGGTAAACGGTAAAAACAACGAGCCTACCCTTACCCTACCTTTTACCCTTATCCCATACAAATTACCCGATTACAGGGTAATTACTGGGGTACTACACGTGAACAAGGTTTGTAATAGGTAAATGCTAGGTCGAGCGCTTTATTTATATAGAATACTCTCGATTCCAAATTAAAAATGGAGGCCACGAACTGCGCCACAGAGCTTTTAGCGAGCGGTAAACAAGGTATTTACCGGGTAATTTTTCCGCACTCCCTTTACCCTACCCTTTACCTTACCCCTTGGCATGTCGACACCTTTACCCTTTTACCCGGTAAAAAGGGTAAATGACCTTACCTTGCCGAGGCCTACCGCTGGGTGACGCCGCTGGGGATTTTTCTGACGCCTGGGACGTCACTTGAAGTGCAGGTGAATGTGTTCTAAGTGAGATAGCGCATGTTTTAAGTTTACATTATATCCAATTATAATATAGATAACGTAACCTTTTTGTATCTCCACATGACATTTGTTGAGCCCGATTGGCCTGCCAGTCTTCTAGACATGAAGCAGCATGGTTTGAACAAATACACGACCAGCCTAGACGAGTGGGCTCTTGGTGGAGCGTCACGTTGGCAGCTCTGGGTTGCGATATCCCCGTCTCGGTGTTAATCTGGGCAATTTGGTCGTGTACACCTCCTCTGCCCGGAACGGTCACGTTTAGTTTTGGGGCTGGCTGCCCCAATTGGAGTCGCTCGCTTTCGGGGCTAACGAGTGCAACCTGCCCCGCTATTTAACCCATAACTCGGTCGTCATTGCCAATGCTCTCCCTGGGGGGGACGCTGTCCCTGGGGGGGGCTGTCCCGCTCCGAGAGTTTCTCTGCAGGCTGAGGCCGTCCGCTCGTGGAGGGCGGCGGAGGCCACCGCAGTTGACGACACGCGGAGGCCAAGAGGCTGCCCTGTGCCAACGGGACACCGCTGGCTCACGGCCTCGTTTTCACGTCGGTGCCAGGGGGCTTTGTGGCGATGTCTGCAAGCAAGAAAGTGCGCCATTGTGACGACGGCTCTTTGGACGCATTGCGTCACACAGATAATCCAGTGCCATGCGAGTATTGGGACCTTTCACATTCTCCCAGGTCTTTGCGTGTTCAGGTTGGCGACCAACGTATTTAATGGCGATGGCCATGCCGCTAAATATTGTCCTCGCTTCTGCCAGATAATGCAGCTGTAGAGCGGATACCCTGCCTTCACGGATCTCCTCTAACAGTCTCAACGTGTCGCTTCAGGACGTGCCCGTTGCGGTTGGCCTCTGGGTGGCCACTGCATTCGATGAATAATTATTTGACATTGAAATGAAAACGTCACATGGGTGGCAATGTTGATATTTGCTCCGTCCTTTGTGCCACTGCTTCGGTGTCATTCATTGCCGCTCTTCGCCTTTGCACCGTCTCGCTTGCCCCCTTCGCTACCTTTGCTCTCCAGTGAAGAAGTGCTGCCCTCTAGTGCACACTTTGGCTTCCGTCACCTGAAATTACAGTTGAGTACCGTGTCTTGATTTCACGCAGACTTTGATACTCACTCGGCAGCAGTGTTAGTTGGTGAGCACACGACGTTTCGTGGCTTGCTCGCAGTGCCATTTCTGCTAGGCTCGTGCACCCAACGCGTGTCCCATTCCTTTAGGGCTCCCATAACACGATGTAACACAATCTTTGTCCCTGGGTAGTGTTATTTTCCAAGTGCTTATGCCTCAAAAGTACAGAAAATGGCTATTCCCCACAAACTTTGCTTTTGTGACCAGGGCTTTACGTGAAGGAATGATACAAATGCACACCACATTTTCTCATTGCAAAGAGGTACATTTCAAAATATCACTGTCCTGGTCCCAAAAGCAAAGTTTGTGGGGACTAATAGCCATTTTATATACTTTTGAGGCATAGGCAATTGGAAAATAACACTTACTACCCAGGAACAAAAAACAATTTGTTACACAGTGTTATCCTTAATTCTGCCACCCCTCATTGTCTTTGTGTCTCTGTCTCTCTCTGTCTGTTTCACTTTGTTTCTGCCTCCATGCCTCTCTCAACATCTCCTTCTCGACGAGTCTGCCTCTCTGTTTCAAAACGTCAGTGTCTGCCTACATCTGTTGATGTGTCTCTCCACGTGTCCCTCGTGTTTGTTCCCAAGTCTGTCTCCAGTCTCTGGATGTGAGCGGCCCACTTACCCCAACCAAGTCTGCTTCTGGCCCCTCCGAGTGGTGAGGTGGCTCTTACCGCTGATTTGTTTTGCATGGTTTCATCCTCATTGAGTTATTCAGCCCTTAGGAATATTAAACTAAATTGATGCGTGTAGTTGAGCGGAGCGGTGCTTACATGGACGCCGGCTTCACACGAATCAATATCCATAACCGAACTTGGCGTTGGTCACGTGTAAATAGATTTTTTAAAGATTGAAGGTTTTAACAAAAGGGTACGCTACTTAGCTGGTACTGCTTATCTACAACAACAACAAAAGCTTTTAATTGATGTACAAAACAATTTGATAATACTGTACTTAGCCAACGTGTACATTTCTGGGTGTTGCATGACGTGTTTGTAAACTGGAACGTACACGTGGCATGTGGCATGGCTGGGTGCGAGGAAACCGCAATGCAGACGTCTCCTCCCGAGAGGTGTAATGATGCTTTCCATGCCCCGAGACGCGTCCATTCTCGCAGCACGTGCATTGAATCGTGCGTGTTAACAATCGATGCGTGTTGGTGCATTCGAATGCTAAATGCAAATTGTACCTGCATCCCACGCACATCCGAGTGTAAGCGCGCCAAGCGAACTTGTGCGAACGAGACGGCGGGGAAACTTAATCTGAATACAAAAATCGAGAGGAGAAAATAATGGATTATTTCAATAAATAGTGGCCCTGAATCGTGACAACTCATGGGGTCATGGGGGAGGGCTCGCATCGCTGAACTCGCTGGTGCTGAGATGGGCGGTAATCATTGGTGGCAGGCGAAGGAATCCGCTAAACTGCACGCATATGTTGTACAAATGCCGCGTGTGTATTACTGTGGTTGGGTATTGTCAGTTGATGATAATTATTTTACTTGAAAAAATGTGATATCACGAAAGGTTATGTTACCTTTTTGCTCAGTATAGGTTTCTCATTTAACATCTATTAATCAATACCCATTCATGCTGGCTAATGTGGAGTGCAGTGTGCATAATAAACAAGCATGTTTATTTTTTTCTTCTAATGGATGTTTACGTGCCTACTTTTTTATACCACAGGAGGTGATACAGGTAGGAACAACAGGTTCCACACTGCCCACCAGGGATTATTTGTCTGTCGTGCATCGGAATGCAGCCCACCCATGCCCCCCCCCCCCACCGACCGCCGAGCAGGGCCACGATTGGTTGAGGATGTCGGGGAGGGTGGGGGGAAGGTAACCACGCCCAATCATCCAACTCCCCCCCCCCCCCCCAAACGCCGAGCGGGGCCGCCATTGGTAGAGGTGGGGTGTAGACACGCCCACTCATGCAATCCCCTCCCCACCGAACACCGAGCTACGCCGCGATTGGTTGACGATGTCGGGGAGGGTGGGGGGGAAGGGTAAACACGCCCACTCATCCAACTGCCTCCCCCCCCCGAACGCCGCGCTGTCCAACCAAGTTCCTACCTGCCCCCTCCGAAGGAACGTGTTACATAGGGACACGTGTGTGAACGTTGTAGTAAGATCGTGAGCTGTCTTTGCGGTGCAACATCTCTCCTGGGATACAGGAGGAGGTCGTGGGTTCGATCCCAACCCTGACGCCTGTTTACAGTATTTGGAGTTTGTATGTTCTCCCCGTTATAGCGTGGATTTTTCTCAGGATCCTCTGGTTTTTCCCTCCACATTTAGAAACGTGCGATTAGAGTATTTGGCTGGTATAAATGTCCACATAAACCACTTCGTTGAGCTATCATTTGTGGCCAGGTTGCTTCTGAAAAAGAACTATATAGCTCAGCCTGCCTTGCCTGCTAAAATAAAACATAGTTTAAAAATAATTTAGTTTTCAGAGATAAAACTCCGTAAGGGGAGAGCTTGTTTGTTTTCGCTACAGGATTCAAACACGCCTCTATAGAAGGACTGAATGCTGGGGTACCCCCCTGGTGAGACACTGCTTAACCAATACATACTTCACCTAGAATGGAACTTTCTACAAGCAAACTGAGGGCACCCCAATGGGCTCCCCCCTATCTCCGGTTGTAGCCAACATCTTCATGGAGAAATTTGAGACTGACGCCATCAAGACTGCCACTCTACGCCCGACCTTATGGAAGAGGTACGTAGATGACACTTTTGTCATCTGGCCACATGGCCGGCCTGCTCTAGACCAATTTCTCGACCACATCAATTCCATACACCCAGCCATCAGATTCACCATGGAAGTCGAAAAAGATGGCAAGCTACCCTTTTTGGATGTCCTAATTAAAAGGAGACCTGATGGTTCAATGAGCCACTCTGTCTACAGGAAAGCCACCCATACGGATGCTTACCTAAAACCGGATTCCCACCACCATCCATCCCAGAAGAATTCCCTCATCAAGACTCTATACCATAGAGCCCAATGCATTTCCGACCAGGAACACATTGGCAGTGAACTCAAACACGTACGCCAAGCTCTTAAGGCTAATGGTTACTCCGACTACACAATCCGCAAGGCCATCACTCCAACCATCAAGAAGGATCCTGTTGAGGAGCCTTTCAAGACCATCACCTTACCCTAGATTGCTGGGGTCACAAAAAAGATCTCCAAAATCCTGATTAAACACAAGATCCAGGTCCGATTCAACACAGTACATAAAATCCGTGATCTAGTCCCGTCTGTAAAATATGTGGTTCCAGACATACAGTACCCTGGCGTCTACAAACTAAGTTGCCTCTGTGGTAGCAGTTACATTGGAGAAACCAAACGACATGTCTCGGACCGCATCCGTGAACATAAAGCAGACCTGAAACACGGTAGGACAAACACCTCGGCCGTGGCAGATCACTGTTACAATTCAGTGTGCTCACATGACATTGACTTCTCCAATACAGAGGTTCTCTGCAAGCCATCTGGCTATCATGAGAGATTCGTTCATGAGGCGATCCACATACAAATACAGAGACAATTTCAACCGAGAAGATGGATTCTGGCTTAGCAATCATTGAAAGGACGTAATAAACCATTTCGGATCTTAACTGATTGTGTTCACGTTTACGATGACTTTCAGACCGTGTTCTACTCACTGGCATGGTGCAGTGTGCAGAGTAATGTATGGTGTCGTAATTGTATAGTAAATATATAGCAGTGTGATACACATTAGGGTGGGTAGAATAATACATAGTGTTATATTAAAATGGATAAGGCAGCAACTGCAGCAGCAGCAGCAACTGCAGCAGCAACTGCAGCAGCAGCAACTGCAGCAGGAGCAGAAACTGCAGCAGCAGAAACTGCAGCAATAGCAGCAGCAGCAACTGCAGCAGCAGCAACTGCAACTTTCTTTGATGCTGTTAATCCTGCATAATGCACATGCATATGCAGTACTAATCACATTCCTGCATTTCCCATAAATATGCTAAATTCCTCTTGATATGCAAATTCCTTTGTCAAGGCGCCCAGCTTATATATATGCTCCAAGCTCGTGTGCTGTTTCATTCAGACTCTGTCGCCTCGACGGACCTGGTTTTCACCTGAGGACGGCTGCTTGCGTTGTGGCCGAAACGTCGTGAGAATAATTTTATTATGGTTTATTTTTATTATTGTATTACTTCCCTTCTACGTGACTTTACCGAAAGAACCAAGAAGAAGGCAGTTCCTCTTTTTTTAATAAAGCTCGCCAAGTTGTGTATACAGGGTGTTTAAAAATGATGGACCCAATTTCAAAGCAGTATATTTCACGATGGCAACATGTTACAATTACACAAAAAGTTACAAACGATTTAATGAGTTATCAAGTTTTACTAAACATTTTTATAAATGCTCCATGTGCCCTCCACCTGCTGTACGGACATAATCGAGACGATAGTTGAATTCGTCCCAAACGCTTCTCTTATCACGTTTTCCTCTGTGGTGCGGGGTCGCCCTGTGCTCTTCCCCTTACATCAACAATCTGTTTCCTCAAATTGTCGGTACCAACGACGAATGCTCTTTGACATTGGCGGATCAATGCCAACACGCCGTTGAAACGCACGCTGCACCGCAATCACGGATTCAGTCTCGCTGAACTGCAGAATGCCAAACGCCCCTTGTGTGTTGTGGGGTCGCCGTCTTGCGAATGACTGAGGCTAGGGGCTGTTTGTGCGCTGGGAGAGGCATCAAGCGGTCATCATTTGAAACTCCATGCCCCGCCCTTTCAAGTGGTGAGAGTTTAATTCATGGGCTGGTTCGTGGTTGCAGAGATATAGCGATTTCAAATCGGGTTCATAATTTTAAAACACCCTATCCAGGACAGTGCCTCGCTGATTACATTGTGTAACAAGATTCGTTTTTTTTCCTGGGTAGTAAGTGTTATTTCCTAATTGCTTATGCCTCGATAGTACAGAAAATGGCTATTATTCCCCACAAACTTTGCTTTTGTGACCAGGACATTGATATTTTGAAATGTACCTCTTTTCAATGAGAACGTGGTGTGCATTTGTGCCATTCCTTCACATAAAGTCCTGGTCACAAAAGAAGAGTTTGTGGGGAATCATAGCCATTTTCTATACTTTTTAGGCATAAACAATTTTAAAATAACACTACCCAGGGACAAAAATCGTGTTACTTAGTGTTATAGGAGGAATCCATTTCTGGAACGGATCCAAAAATCTGCAGCACAAAAATTCAGATTTTACGGATCACCACCCCCAGCGGACGACGAAAGGAGCCGCGAATTATAGGATGCATGGATTATTGCAGTTCTGCTGTAAATCGTTAGAGGGGAAAATGGAAAAAAAGTCAGAGAATGCGTCATGCGAATGATGGAATGGCATGACAAACAATGGAAGTATGAGCACAAATGGGCATAGAAAATGGAACATGGACCTGAAATGTTCCCAGAAATAGGCGTGTCGAGATTGGTCATGGGTGTTTCACTGAGACAGAATACATAGCAACACGTGGTTTATTGATCGATTTCTAATTGGAGATATCATAATACGTACTGCTGATAAAAGTACGGGGGGAGACACAACGCCAGAAAGGTTGATAGCCGCTGAACGAGATGGCTAATGGAGAAAATAAGCCTAAAGGTGTCTGACCACCGCATCGATGGAGTGATCAGAGCAGGCCACGTGCAGAGGTGACCTGGATGGTGGGAGCGATGCCTTGATCCAGCAACGCAGATTCTGATCACTTACAAACACGAAGAACACCACATACACACATGTACAGACGTATGTATACATGCTGGAATTCTTTCGCACAGTAAGCAGCCAAACGTGCTCATGGGAGGTGCGTCACGTGATGGACACGAGAGTTGGCAGGTCGTGAAGGAATGAGGCGGTGCTGGTTGGGCTTCCTCGTTTGTGGGTTGCTGGATCTTCGTCATCAATTGGGCTGTCATCAACAACATCACGATCATTGTCATCAGCCCCATCTCTCATCATCATCGTCGACATCGTTGTTTAGAGGTCGTGCGCAGTCGTCTTTGGTTTGTGCTACAATTCCACACGCGCAATGATTTACGAGATTTATTTGAGATTGAAGATGTTGTACGTGCCAAGAAGAAGGGGTCATTGCACAAACGTCCGCCATGAAGTAGTAAGTGTTCATTTTTTAGGTCGCGGTGTTATTGACGAGTGCTTGTGCTTCTGGGAGGCAAAAGCGTTCTGTGCAAAAGTGAACACGCACGCGAGATGGCCAGCAGACGGAGCCAGCCACCCATTCTCCAGCGCTGCGATGTGAAATCAAATCGATTTGTTTAACCAGTTAGGTACTCTAGAGACCAGGTTTGTCTCATTCCCAAGAGCAATGAAGATCACCAAAACGACAAAAGCCAAACAATGTACAGCAACGAAGCAAACCATGAATCAGCGCAAAGAGCTGCGTCGAATGAGAAATGCAAACATTGAACAAACGCGAATAAATTGTTTAATGCTGCAGTGGAATCGCCTGCAACACAAGTTCGCTCTAGAAACTCCTTGTTTCGTACACTGATCAGAGTACAATTACAATGAAATTAGAGAAACAGTAGGATTTGTGGATTAC